ACAATGGTAGGAAGTATTCACAGATAAATAACACAGAGGCCATCCCTCAGGGTTTTACAGTCTAGAGGGCAGACTGGAGAAGTGTTATTTCCCACGGAAAGCGTAAGATGACCTCTGCTAGGGCTCTTCTCCCTGCGGGGCCTCAGAGGTGCTCCTGTCCTCCAGAAATAGGGCTGTGGCTTCCAGGTGGGCGTGGCATTGTCCCCCCCACCCCCCATTTCCCTTTGTTCTACTACTTGCTGATGGAAGCAGAGCCTGGCTCCTACCCGGCGTTCTCCGGCTCCTTCCCAGCCTGTGCGCTATGGGTCCCGCAGCCGCTGCGCTTCAGCACCGCGGGGGTGGACAGCTCCGGGGCGCAGGCTCTGGGATCTGATCGCGGGGAGTGGACCTGGCAGGAGCCTCGCTCAAGGTTTTGGTCAGAAACCATTCGCAGCTGGAGATGGTTTGTAAGGAAACAAATCTCTGTTGTGGGGGTACTGTGTCTCTGAAATAGCCTCTGTCTTGTGTCTCAGGCGTCCTGGTCCTTTCCTGGTACCCACCTGGCATGGCTGATGACAACGGGGAACCCTCAGATGACCTGGTGCCCGCCATTCTGGACACCGCCCATCAGTACAACATCCAGGTGAGTCTCCAAGAAGAGGTCAGGTGCTCTCTGGCCCATTCTGGAGATTTCCACTGCTCTGCTCACCGGGATAGTGCCTCTACCAAAGTTCTTGGCATTAGCCCAGGTATGGCACATGTGGTGTTGGGATGGGGTTCTAATAAATAGTGTGTATGTTACTCTTATTTTCTGGAATTCTGAAAAAAATATTGCAAAAACGAAATATAGGAGAAATGGGGGACTAAATAAATATGATGCTAGAGGTTAGGTTGGAGACCCTGACCCTGGGTAGAGGGCAGGCAAGGGCAGAATGGGCCCACAAACTGAACTCCAGCCTCAGCTCCCTGGTGCGAGGCAGGGTTGGGCCCCCAGGAGTAGAACACAATATGTGTTCTCGGCAGGCAGTCTCACTTTCAGGAGGAATGACGGAGCTGAGTAAGCATGTCCAGCTATTTTCCCCAAACGTACCAATCAAATAAGTCATTCCCCTCTCTCATGGCAAAGGAAGAAAAATGAAGGAGAGGAGCCCCGCTCCTTTTTCCATGCCCATCACCGACAAGTGTCACAGACCAGAGCACATTTTCCCTTCGCCACAGCTTCAGTATATGTCTCCCCATGGTTTCAGGCAGCTAGTGCCAATGCCTTGGACCTGACATGTAAGCTGAAACCTGTTAGCCATCCTGCAAGAGCCCATCAGGATGATTCCCAGATGCCCTGCTGTGGGAGGTGGGCAAACTCTTCGCGCCTCTTGTTTTGGTCCTGAGGGCTGTGGCTGCTTTTCTCTCTATTGTGCCCCCGCCGCCAGGCTGTCTCCTGAACTCAGCCTCTTCTCCAGGCTAGAGCACGAGCCTTATAGGTTGTGGCTCCTGGAGAGAGCCTCACCTGACCAATATCTCCTCTGTTTGTGGCAGGTGGCTTTCCACATCCAACCCTACAAGGGCCGGGATGACATCACTCTGCATGACAACATCAAGTACATCATTGACACGTAAGCTGCTCTGGGGCTTGGATTTTGGTGGGGATCAAAATGAGAATAGAAGGTTTAGAGGGGCAGGTCAAGAGACACAGGGCTGAACGCCTGTGTCCTCAGCAGCTACTTTATAGTAAGAGAGTACTGGGTGTGGAGTCAGCTACCTGGGTCTGAATTCTGGTTCTGCAGCCCCCAATCTGTGATCAGAGGCAAGCCTCTTAACCTTCGAGTCTTATGAGAGTTACATGAGTTAATATATATGAAAGTGGCTTGTACAGTGCTTGCACATACCATTCATTCATTCAAAACAACACTGATTGCATACCTTCAGGTATCCAGGCACTGTCCTGAGTCCCAGTTGTACAGTAATGGGTAGGACTAGCAAAGTTTACATTCTAGTGTGTGTTGGCGGTGCAGTGGAGCAGACAGTAGTTGCACACAAAAAGTCAAAGGGTGATCTATACTATGAAAAAGTAATAATAAAGAATAGAGTGTTGTGTTCGAGTGTGCCTGAGAAACTACATTAGAATGAGTGGTCACGTGAGCCTCTCCGAGGAGATGACCTGTGAGCTAACACCTGAATGAAGAGTCCGCTCTGCAAAATGCTGGGCAGGCAGAAAATTCCAGGCAGAGGGCTATCAGATCCAAAGGCCAGATGAGGGGACAAGCTTGACAGCAGACTAGAAAGGCCAGGGTAGCTGGAGTAGAGAAACAGATAGGGCAATAGCAGGAATGGAGATGGGCAGGGCCGGATCCAGTAGCTGGGGCCCACAGGTCTTGGTAAGGAGCAATCAGACCTGATTTACACTTTAAAAAGAGAATGGATTGCAGGGAGGCAGGAGTGGGAGCCTGGAGGCCAGTTAGGGGGCGGCTGCTGCCCTCCAGATGAAAGATGGCAGTGGCTTGGCCGAGGGCAGGGAAGTGAGGCTTGAATAAAGGAATGACGAGCCTGGGGAGAGGAGGGAGGGAACTAGCTTCTTGCTAAGAGGCACAATGCATCCAACTGTGGAGACTGGCTGGATCCAAAACTGCTTGGGCATCAGGAAAGAGCTCATCCATGGCTGGCGCCATAACTGTGCTGGTTTCTCCCATCTTAGGCTGCCAGCTCAGGCTCTTCTTCCTCCCGCTCCTCAGGTATGGCTCCCATGGTGCATTTTACCGCTACAAGAACAGCATGGGCAAGAGCCTCCCACTCTTTTATATCTACGACTCATACCTGACGTCCCCTGAGGCCTGGGCCCACCTCCTGACACCAAACGGGCCCCACTCAATCCGCAACACCCCCTATGATGGGGTCTTCATTGCACTGCTGGTGGAGGAGGGCCACACCCATGACATCCTGGCTGCCGGATTTGATGGTATGTACACCTACTTTGCCTCCAATGGTTTCTCCTTCGGCTCCTCCCATCAGAACTGGAAAGCTGTGAAGAACTTTTGCGACGCCAACAACCTCATGTTCATTCCCAGCGTGGGGCCTGGCTACATTGACACCAGCATCCGGCCCTGGAACAACCACAATACGCGGAACAGGGTCAATGGCAAGTACTATGAGACAGCCCTGCAGGCAGCCCTCACGGTGAGGCCTGAGATTGTCTCCATCACCTCTTTCAATGAGTGGCATGAGGGCACCCAGATTGAGAAGGCCATTCCCAAGAAGACACCAACTCGTCTGTATTTGGACTACCTGCCTCATCAGCCCAGCCTGTACCTGGAGCTGACTCGCCGCTGGGCGGAGCACTTCATCAAAGAGAAGGAGCAGTGGCTGATGTGAGGGGCCTACAAACAGGGGCACGAGGTGCTGATGTCCCAGCCTCACTGGAAGATGTCACCACGTGGGGCTCAGCTGAGGTGGTAGGCACTTGCTTGTCTCCAAGTCAGCAGCTGGGTGCTTCTGGGTAGGCCATCAAGCCTGGGCCCATGTAGAACAGAGCCCGTCCACAGGCAAGTGGTGCTGGGGTGTTCTGTGAGTGACGGGAAACTAGGCGGTGTTCCTGAGAGGGAACCGTAGAGGCTGGCAGGTGACGGGACCTAGCCCAGGGCGGCTCCACATCCTGTCAGAACACTTTAAAATAATCCCTTCCGGCTTTGAGCTCAGCAGGCTGGTGTTGTGTAGGGGAGGCGCCAAGTCACTGCTCTTCTGGGCTAGCATGCACCCTGCTCCCTTCTGTCAGCCTGCGTTGTCTCTCCAGGCCTCCTTCCCACATCATGTTTTCTCCAAGTTAGGGCACCATATCTGAGACTTTCTAAAAGGGAAGTTCTCTCCCTAGTAGATTCCTGAACCCAATTATCAGGAAATATCCTGAGCATTCACACACGCATTCAACACATACTAACCGAGCACCTCCTCCGTGCTGGGTGCTGGGGCAACACTTGACCAGGACTGGCTCGTCTCCCTGAAGCTTATGGGATCCAGCTTTCCTCATTTGGGGTGGCCTTGTAGCTAGGGCCTGAGCACAGCTGGAAGTTCTTCCTTTTTGCAGTTTTACCCAGTGCTGGGAGCTGTTCTTTTTCTTCTAAGCAAATACCTCTGTGCTGCAGAGCCTGCGTTCCCCCAGATGAACGGTTAGCTCCAGGGAGAGGACTAGGACACCCCCCTTTCGCTGCCTGAGCCGAATGAGGCCCACTCACCAGAGCCACTGTCAGTGCTACTGTCATTTGTATGAATTATGACGTGGTATTCGCAAGTAAGCATTCCTTTTGCTCTCTCAGTTCAAGTCTCACCCCTCAGTAAGATTCTGTGACAAACCGACACGTGGAATGGGCGGGCTACAGTGTTAGCACAACGAAGAGTGAGTTTGCTTAAGAAATCAGTAGTTTAAACGAGATTTCTAGAGGGAACAGTAAACAACCACTGCTTATTTACACATAAACTAATATGCTAATTGCAGGGCCTTCAAAGCAGGCCCCGGGTCACCTTCTTGGCAAGATTCTTAGGGTCTACTTGAAGATATGTGCACTGGAAACCAGTGTATTGCAAAGTTTATGGGCTCAAGGGTGAATCCCAATTCTGAGAACTGGGGTGCAACAAAGTGGGGGAGAAGTGGGCCCCACTGGTTACAAGGCCTCCCAGCTCCAGTTATGTAACTGGTACGAAACGCCACCGATGGATGGGGCAGGCCTAGTGGCCTTGCTTGTGACATAGCTGGGGAAACCAAGGCAGGCAGGGACAGTGAAAAGGGCTGGATGGTGACCTGTAGGCATTACAGAAGGGAGCAACACTCAGGCTTCATTTCACATATACACAATTTGAAAAACACTCCAAGTATGGCAAAGCCGGGGGCTGGGCAGCAATTCGCACACACTGCTGATGGCGATGCACCTGGGTCGGTTCTTTTGAAGGCTAATCTGTATCAAAAGCCATAAAAATGTTCATACACTTTGACCCAGTAATCCTACCCTAAAGAAATAACTCAAAAGAAGAAAAATAAACCATTTGCAAAGATGTTTAATAGCAGCATTATTTTCTATTAAAGAAAACCAAAGTTCAAATGCCCAACAATAATTCTATTTAACACTTGGTATACATATGAATAAAGATAAAGGCTGCTGAGTAGACACTGGATTTAAATAAAGGTGTCATAGGTACAATTTGCTATAATTTATTTTATGAATAAATAACAAAAAAGTCCCTGGCTGAAACGGGTAGTAGAGATTTGTTTGCCAATATTCTTTAATTTGGACCCCCTACCCCCAGCCCTTGCCAACTGAGCTGACTTCCCACCATCAGACCAAAACGTTGACTCTCTCGGCCAGGCAATTACAGCACACACACCAGCAGCCCCTGGTTCAGAGGAAACAGCGTTCGGCCTGTGGCTCTACAATCTTCATTCTCACCTGGTTCCAGCTCCAGGAGCACAAACTCGCGCCTTTGGTCACTTGAGACTTAAACAGCACCAGCTGGTGCTCTAGCTGATTTGGACCTTAAATACCACCACCCACCAGAGAGGAGGCTCCCACTACATTCCAAATCTGTTATTGAAATTATTTTTCAAAAATTAAAAAAAAAAAAGAAGAAACGACTTATCAGAACAAGGCCATCCTAGGAATGTTCTTAAAGTCTCTAGTCAGCTTTTGGCTGATACATGAAATTACAAATAATAAATATAACCTCCTCCACCAGGTGTGAGGCTACACTGGCAGCTCCTGGGACCTGGTCTACAGCGTTGAGAAAGACACATTGCCTTGAAGGGTCAGACTAGTGACCTTGCAGCCCCAGTGGCCTCTGCAAATGAGGCCTTGCCAGCCACCAGCGGACAGACACACAGTGTCCAGCACCAGTCCTTGGGCCCCACCTCCTCCCACGTTTCACAAGCAGGATCCGTGTGAAGGGAGCAACCCGTACTTCTGTTGGAGGATGGCTGTAGTACTTTCCAGGGCACTGAGGAGGAAATGGAGCACAGTTAGAGTTTGACTCCTCAAAGTCTTGAGCCCACCAGAGTCAGGTGACCAGAGACCTCTAAACACTTGGTCTTAACTATGCTCTGTTCATCAAACCCTTGATGAATCCTTTTGAGTCTTGAAAAAGCCAGCAAATATGAGCAAACTCAGTCCCACTCCATCCACCACTTCTCCAAACCTGCCCACCCGCCTCAGGGCAAGATAGGAGCAATCGCCTTTATTCTGTCAAGGCTTTTTTTGCATCTGCCAACCTCCCTCAAATTCTATCCCCATGCCACAGGAAAGAGACTCACCAGCCTGGACGAATGATGCCAAACTTTCCAGGCACAGACAAGTCAACCACAGTTGAGCCGAGGCGACACTCAGGGCTCTGGCCATCCCCAATCGGTCCCCCATCAACGACCAGGGACAGTTGAGGCCAGAGGTCTTGGAACTCCTGAGAAGAGGGAGAGGAAGCGCATGGATGCTACTCCTGGCATTGCAATGATGTCATCCTGCACTCAGGGTTTGTAAGCAAGACAAAGGCCACACGGTTCTAAAACAGGAGGCATCTTCCTCTAAGCAGGGGAAGGAACCTTATTTGTTAAGGTCAGCTGTGCCAAGGACACCGCATTAGCTCCTAGGACACTGAATCTCATGAGGTTTGGAGCTGCCCCAGGTTAGCACCCCAAGTAACACCTATCTTAGAGCTTAAAAAAAATCCTGCTGTGCCAAGAGGAAATTCCGCACACTGCTTCTGTTGGGAAGCTGTAAGTACAATGACTGGAGTGCCAGGTGGGAGTCCAAAGATGTGGGCTCCACTCTGGACTTCCTACCAAATCTCTGTGTGACTGCATACAAGTTAGTTTATCTAGGGCTGTAGAATAAGGGGGCTGAACTAGATGGTCTCTAAGGGTCCCTCTGGCTCTAGCACTATGATCCTGGATCTCAGAGGAACTCTGGATCAGGGTAGGGAGAGGAAAAGAGGGTGCACTCCACAAGTGCATGCCACCAGCACTCAGTCCTTGGGCTATGAGAAGGATACTCCCTCCAGAGCTGTGGACTGAACTGTTAACTGAGCTAGAGCGTAGACCACTCCCCCCAGCCCCAGTGAAGACAATGCAGTGGCAGTTAGGCCTGGGAATTTGGGATGGGGGATCATAAATACCAGTTACTGTGTTGGATAGGTCAACTGCTTGCTAAGAGGTAAGAATAACCCTCTTCCCCACTAGCATCCCCTTCCCCACCACCTCGGGCGGAGCCACCAGGACCGAGAAAAGCCTGCAGTCTGAGGATAAGAAGGGATGCTGAGCTCTCACTTTCCAGGGCCCCTGAACCCACTCTCTAGGTCCGGGCATGGAAAACTCTGTCACTTGACTATATTCTACATTTAAATTCAGTACGAAGAAAAACATGTGGTAAGTTCAATTCCTTCGTGTCCTCATTTGGTCTGAGCTATGCAGCTGAGACAGGAATAGGATGATCCTTTGACCTGGCTTGTGGCAGAGGTAAGAGAACAGGGTCAGGAGACCCTGGCACAAGTGAATGAACTTTTTGGAGCCTTAACTTTCTGTACAGCACTGTTGTAAAGACTTATCGCCCAACTGTATTCTCCAAAAACTGCTACCCCCACAAAAAGGGAAGAAATGATTGTATTTATCACAATGTTTCTTATAGGTAAAAAGTTAATAAGAAGGAAACACCAATTCTCCCCCTCGCCTCTCAAACTTTGTAATAAAACCTTTCTGAGATTCTTTAATGTGGATTCCTTCCACCCCGCCTCCCTCACCCTCTGACAACGACGCAGACTTCCCATCATCAGACCCAAAGGGCGACTCTCCTGCTAGGCAATTCCAGCAAACCGTCAACCCCACTGGTTCAAAGGAAAATGTCTGGCCTGGTGACATTTCTGCGGGGAGGACCGGGTAACTCTCACCTCGACATTCAGAGAACTGGCCTGGGAGCTGAGATTGGCACTGGTGAGAGCAAGTGGTCCCCCAAACACCTGGGCCAAGTCCTGCATGAAGGCATGGTCAGGAATCCGGATGCCCACGAGCTATGAGGCAAGGGGAAACGGGGACCATCAGAAAGGCTGGGAGGGGTGGGAGACTGGTCTGGCCTGCATCCTACTGAAAGTCAAATGGCAGGAGCCTGGGGACACGAGAAAATCTGACTCACAGGAGTGAAGGGGTTCAGGTCCTTGTTGAGCTCCTCTGAGCGTTCCATCACCAGGGTCACCGGTCCTGGTAACAGGTCTTTCAGGAGCCCCTCGGGTACTCTCACATGGCAGTACCTGGGAAACAAAGGGGTACAAATCCATTCAAGAATGAAGGGCTACTGCTGGTCCTATTCCAGACTTTAGGTAGATCCAAAAAGGGGTTCCTAGGGCCTACAATGGGACCCGTCCTTCTTCCCTCATCACCTAAGAGCTTGAGCAGAAGGCAGGGCTCCAGAGGAGCACCCAGGTTCGGAGCCCACTTGCCCCTGGTCTTCGAGCCTACAACAGCTGCATCGCTTTGGTGCTCCGTGTTTTATTTTCTTCAAGGCACCTCCTATTAAATTAAGCTCCCGACTTTATTGGTTTCCCTCTTTCTTTCTTCCTAATACCGCGGGAGCCTCCCCATTATCACAAAAGCGCCAAGAAAACAAGGACCCTGGCTGCCTCGTTCACTGCTGCGCCCCAGCATCTCGTCCAGCGCCAGCGGACGCTAAGCGCTCAATACACATTTCCAGTTCCGGATTCCTGGGTGAGCCTGGACAAGCCCCTCCCGCGCTCTGCGCCTCAGTCTCCCAAGCCTGTCACCGGAAGCCCCTCCCGCGGTGCCGCCCCCAGCGGGGCCGGGTCGGGGCGGCCTCACCTGTAGACGTCGGCCACGCGGCCCAGGCATACGGCCAGCGGCTTGGCCTCGCTGCGGCCCTTGAGGCGGTACACCGCGCCGAGCGCCGCCGAGCAGCTCGCCGAGCAGGCCAGGCCGTACAGCGTGTCGGTGGGGACAGCCACCACGGCGCCGGCGCGCAGCTCGGCCACGGCGGCCCGCAGCGCCTCGCTCCAGCCGGCGCGCTCCGGGTTTGCGGCCCGCACGGTCCCGCTCCCCGGGAGCCGCAACAGCCGGGCTCCCGGAGCCGCCGGAGCGGGGTTCGGCGGGCGGAGGAGGCGGCCGCTCCGGGCGGAGCCCGGCGGCCCCTCGCTCAGCCCCACGCTGGCAGCCACCGCGGCCCTCAGCCCCCTGCACGGACACGCCGGAGACATCCACCCAGGCCCGCTTCCGGGAGGAAGTGACGCGCACAGTCAGCTTCCGGTCCGGGAGGCTCGGCCCCACCTCCGCGCCGGGCAACTTAAAGGGACCGCGACCCCCAGGAGGATTGAAGGAGACCGGTGGGGACGGGGCGGGGCGCAGCTTTGCGGAGCCTTAGCGCAGCGCTGGGGAGGGGGGGCGGCCGAAAGGGGGGAGGTGGTCGGGCCGCGCAGGCGGAGATGGAATGGGGCCCGGGCTCAGACTGGTCACGGGGGTGAGAGGGGGCCCGTCGGGGACGGGGGGGAAGGGGCTCGGACCCCGCGCAAGCGCCGGCCCTGACCGTCTGTCTCGCTCTCTCCCGGCCAGGGAGGCTGCCGGCGTGGACCGTGGGAAGGCGGGGCTGGGGCTCGGCGGGAGGCCACCCCCGCAGCCGCCCCGGGATGAGCGCGCCCAGCAGCTGCTGGACGCCGTGGAGCAGCGGCAGCGGCAGCTCCTGGACACCATCGCCGCCTGCGAGGAGATGCTGCGGCAGCTGGGCCGCCGGCGCCCGGAGCCGGCTGGTGGCGGGGTCAGTGCCCACCCCGGGCTGGGCCTGGGAGGTGGGGACTACCCAGCGGGTGGACTTGCTAAACCCTAGCTTTCCCTGGAGGGTGGAAGAGTGTCCCCACGGCTTTACCCCTCCCCCGCTTTTCATCTGGGCTAGAGGCTTTGAAAAAGTTAGGTGCTATCCAAATGCCAAGTGGCCATATCCTTGCTGGGCCTAATCTAAGGCCTTTCCTCCCGGCCTCACTTTTTTCCTTTCTGTTCTAACCAGAACGTCTCAGGCAAACCTGGAGCGCCCCCTCAGCCAGCTGTCTCCGCCAGAGGTGGCTTTCCAAAGGATGCTGGCGATGGAGCTGCGGAGCCCTGACCATCCCCGAGCCGGGCGCCCTGACTTCTCTGCCTCCCCGGGGCTGGTGGCTGGACTCTGAACAACTCCCTTGAATAAAGGGGCCAGTCTTCACTGGCAGTGGCTGGTACTTGGCTCTCAGCCTGGGGTGGCAGCTCTGCTAGCAGCCGGGTTCACTCCCACTTCATCCTGGCTGAAGGCAGTGCTGAGCTTTGAAATGTAGCCAGTGAATACCCAGTCTGAATACCCGGATTTGGGCAGACCAGCAGTGCTCGCCAGAGTGGTCTGGCCTGCTTTGGGGGATCCAGTTGGTGTTACATGTCCATTTCATGCTTTGGGGGCTCCCAGCTCCACAAAACACTTTTAGCAGAGCCTTGATTAAAAGGAAACCTGCAGACTCTTCTGGTGACCGACCTTTCCTTTTTGTCCCCTCTCTAAGACTCTGATGGCTGGGGAGGGGGGAAATAGTTGAAAACTGTCAACCATGGGCCGGGTTGGGAAGAAATGCCACAGATACTACCAGATTTAAATAAGCATTTAATTAGGATTTCATTAGTATTTAATATTGCTTTTTCAATTCCAAAAAGTTAAATTTTCACTTCTTAGCAGATATTTTAAAGTACAATATTAAGTTTATACAAAATGAGCAATTAAGCAAACACCATTATTTCACATTCTTCAAAAATACAAATTCATATTTACTCTTTTTTGGGTTTGGAGGTTTCTTCCTTTGGAAGTACTGAACCTGTAACGTTTTCATATCGCTCAGTGGAAGTCTGTTGTTCCCATGTTTCACACTTAAATAAATTTGATAGGCTTTTACATAATCCAAATAAAACTATTTGGGATTTAAAAAAATTGTCACCAAGACCTCTGGCCAATGATAGTGTGTGTCAAAAGAGAAGGCTCTCGTGGGTCTTGCCTTTCCTGGCCAGAAGATCTGAGACAGAGATTCAGCAAAAACCTGTTTCCAGCCACCTTCCCCAAACAGGGACCAGGAGGAGTTCACAGGGAAAAGGAACAGCCACCTTGAACTCCAACCCTCAAGCCCACATTCTCCAAAACACAACAAAGGATGTAGACTGTTGAGTCAAAAAGCGCCCCTGGGAGGCCTGAGGACACAGGGGAGAAGAGCAAGAGAGGCTTCTGACTTGGCACCACTAAGAGGATAACGAGGATATTGCAAAAAACACCCCTGGGTTTTGGTGAAAAAAGATTTTATGAAAAGTTTTCCCATAAGAAAGAGAGTAGAAACTGCATTGAGCTGAGAAAGTGACACTACATTATCACCCAATTTTTGGCCCAGCAGCACACCACCAAAAGGGCAGCGTGTTTTAAACTTTGCTTCCAGTAAAAAAGCTTGTACTATGTACACATTGACAGCAAGATCCAGTTTAATTTGGATTTTTCAGTGCAGACTGAGAAGCCCTCTCTTGAACAGGAATAACAGAGAAATGCCAGCTTCCCCAAAAGGCATGAGAAGAAATACGGGACCCTTTCCCTCTCCCGCAAAAATATGCAAGAGGAAAGGCTAGACTGACTACCAATCAGAGATATGCATAATTCAGTTTTGTTGCCCCCCCCTGCCCCAAGTATTAAAGAATGGACAATTTCCGATCTATGTCACAGCAGAATTTGCACACTGGATCTATGGAAATCTTTCTGCTTTGGCTGAAGTATATTTTAAAACTTCTCTCTTCTATTCTAGCCTGAGAATTGAAGATAAAATGGGGTGGGGGAGAACATGAGGGGAGTGAGGGGGAAGGAAGAAAGTTGACAAAGCGAATTATTAACAGCTTGGTTTACTGGATTCAAGGGAGCCTAGAGGGCTTTTTGCTTAAAGAGCCAACAGGCCAGAATGGGGGCAGGATGGAAATAACTCTCTTGCCACCCTGACTACCAACACCTCCCCAAACATACTTTTGATTGGTGGAAAGGTATTCTTTAGCAATATTGTTGCAGTTCCACAAACCTTTAATGGTTTCAGTGACTCTGCAGGAGTCTTTAAGATTAAGGACAACCGATGTGATTAGAAATATAAAAGTCTAGAAGGTGCCAGGTTTCTACCTAGGAACCACCTGTTCCTTCCTCCAGGTATCATTTTGTAATGGTGAAGAGGGGAAAGATGGCAAGGGACCAAGAAATGATGAAAAAGGGCCGCGACAGTCAGCAGAAGAAAACAGGACTCGCAGCAGTTCTTCAGAGAGCCTGAGGGGGCGCCCTCGGGCACACAGGGGAAGCTTGCATAGATTGAGCAGGTGCTGAGAATGCATAATAGTGTTTCCCTATAGACAGCCTGAGTACAGGGCTGATGAGAGGAAAACGGGGCCAGGCCAGGGCCACATGGGACAACGACCGTCAAGCTACACATATTGCACCAAAGTAAGTGCTTTTCTTTTCACACCTCAATTTAACTTTTTATTCTGAGCAAAAAATAAAACTTTGTGGAAAGTATATATATGTATATATATACACACAAAAGAAATTGCAGCAATTGGGTTAAAGATAAAATAACCTAAAGTGCTTTTTTATTTTATTATTTCTTTAATATACCAATATGAGGTTCTGCAAACTCGTCCCTCTGGACACATTCAACAATGTACAAAGTCTCTCAGGAACCCCACCCCCGCACCCCGTTATCCCCGTCAGTCCACCGTGTGGACCCTGAAGGTAAAACTCTCTCATCTACTGACTCTCCAGAGCTGGTGAGAAGTCCCTTGCTTCTACCCAGAGAGGCCTTCACACCTTAAGGCTCCTCCTAAGCTTTGTACCATGATCTCCTTCTAAAGGGGCAGGAGGTGGAATTCAATAAATGATACCAGCTCTTGTCACCGAACTAGTGATGCCCCCGTGAGGCTGGCCAGACCCTGCCAGGAAAGGGAGGACCACTTCCCTCAACACCCCACCCACCTGTGGGGGAAGGGCCAAATTCACTAAGGCAGTTTGGCGGTGCCAGCCAACGTTCCCTACCAGCTCCAAGCCCACGAGCTCCCAATCCTGGGGCTGCCCAGCTCCCTGCAAAGGGGCAGATAAGTGGAGGTGCTAATGGGAGCTGGGGGCGAAAATGGTTACGGTTACCATGGGAAGAAAAAGGGCCTGGTGTCACCGCTAGCAGTCGGCAGACCTGCCCTAACCCCACCCTCGGTTCATTCCTGGGCTAGGAAACCACGCTCTCCAAGAAGGCTCCTTTGGCTCCACTTTAGCCAGTGGCCTCCCTTCTCCAAGGCCCTGGGCACTGGAGACCAGGCTTACAGAAGGGAGTGGGGAGGGAAAGAGTGCCAGAAGAGGAAGGAAAGGAAAGACTACCCACCCTGTGGAACAGACCTGCTCCTCACAACCACTCACTAGCATTTTAAGCACATTCCTGATTTTTCAAAAGCTGATTGGATCTGACAGTCCCCCTTGTAATCTCAAGTCACCCTCAAAAGGCAGATACTTCAACTAGAAAAATCTGTCAGCCTAAACGCTGTTTTAAGATGCTTCTTTATCACTCCCCATCTCTGGAGGGCAGAAAAGTCACTGACCTGGGTAGGCCCTACACGAGCACAGCCCTGGCTAAGCAGAAAGAAGCAATACTTAAACCACGGCCTTCCAGTGGCCTTCCCTGGGCTCCTGTTTCCCACCTCAGCTCCCAGGGAACCGAAGCCCAGGTAACCCTAGCATGGGTATGTGGGGAGGTCATTCCTGCCCTCTGATATAAGCAAGCTTTGGGGTCCCATCGCACTGCTCTCTCCCAGAAGCTGTAGAGAAAACAGCAAGGGTCCTACCTCAAAGCTTCCCATGGGTGCAAGGCCCAGAGACAGGCAAGGACCACCCATGCTCAGCTGCTGGTTTTCCAGGACTAACCCACTGTGGTAATACAAGACTCCTCTTGCCTTATCAACTTCTGCTGAGGTCAGTGGTCCCCAGAGGGGAGTGTAGAAGGTCAGAAAGAAATCAATTCTCCTGATGAGACTCCTGGAGTGAAAACCGCCAGCTGCTTATGCTTAAGGCCATTTCTCCTCGTGGCAGGAGCAACATTTACTGCCACTGCCCTCTTGTCCAAGTCTGTCCCAAACATCCTGTCAGCGGCAGAGCCTGGCTCCCACGTAAACGATCTGCTCTGGATACTGTCTTGGCTGGTCCTGAGTAATGGCTCAGAGAACAGGAGTGTGACAAATGCAGATCTCTGTACATAAGGGAGTGGAAAAGGTACGCAAAATGATGGCTGCTTTCTGCCTGACCTGGTCGACTCAGAAGAACAGCCCCGCCTGTGGCAGCCTGCTCCTCGCTCAAGGCAGGCAAGCACTCCTCGGGGCAGAGGCTAGAACCCTGGGCCATGCCTAGCTTCTGAGCTCAGGGAGTCTGGGGAGCATGCGGGACCACGTTAACAGAGCCAGTTGAGAGAAACTTTCCATTTTAGTGTGGACTGTAGTTTATGTTTTATTTTAAGAGGCCATGACTTGGAGCCAAAGGCAGACAGATGGATACAAATCTATACACAGATCAAAAAGAAAATCTTTTTCCCTATAACACAACTTAATGAAACATTCCAAATGAGATAACTTATTGCAACATTTCAGGCTTTTTGGTGGAAAGGGAATTTTTTGTTTTGTTTTACCCTGAGTAGAAGATCATCGTTTTGTGTTTTTTGTTTGTTTTTTTGTTTTTGTTTAGCAATCAAATGACTAAGCTGAGCAAGTCATATCCTTCTTTGCACTGTACTAGGCTGTATGCAAAATCCAGAGGGTGAGAGGCGGAGATGGGAGGGGGCAGCCAGAAGCCTGCTGAAGCCTGAACCAGCACACTCGGCCCGCCAAGGACACGCACCTTAAAAAAACTCCCTTAAAGCCGCACCTTCTCCCGAGAAGCAAAATGCAGCTCTCTTGCTCTAAGGAAGGAAACACCATTAAGGAAGGCAGACCACCGCCCAGCAACTGGTCACAAGCCACCTGTCTGCTCTAGTACAAAACAGGGACGTTCCCCAAGAATTCACCGCAACCTGCAAGCCCCAGCGACCAACCGAGAGAGAAAGAACCAGGAAGGCGAAGACTGTGATCGTGTCGCCAGAGCCTGCTCTGCACACCCGTCATCCACAGCTAGCAGTCAGCAACCCGCCGAGGGCCCCTGCAGAGCCGGATCATCCCCACAGCCTCGGGCCAGGCTTTTAGCTGCCGGATGACCCTGCCTAGTCACACTGAGCTCCACCGACACCAAGCGCAACAACAGAACCATCTTACCCAATCCCTGTCCAGCTCATGGGGTCCGAACTGCCTTTGCCACTTCCCTCTCCGATGGAGCGAGGTCTGGCCTTCCGAACAAGCTTCAGCCTCACACTCAAAAGACTCACGGGGAGGAGCAACACCCAACACACTGAAATCTACTGCCCAAACCACAAAGCCCCCACTGCAAGTGTTGGGCAGCATCAGATTGATGGAAACCACACCCTTTCATTTAGAATTTTTATGCATACGAGTAACCTTAATTTCCAAGTTCACATGACAATAAGCAAAAGTGACATACAGTGCAGCCAAACAGTTCATTTATAACTTAGCTTTTTTTTTCTGTTTTGTTGGTTTTTTTTTTTCCTCAAAGATCAGTTCCTTAAAATGGATGCTCCTGGGATATGAATAAAGAAAATACGGCTGAAAGGTGAGGATTTCAACAGCAGGTTTCTTCATCCTTCAAACTGCTGACCCCGAGATGGGAGGCCCCGCACCTGACCCTGCTGCCGGGCCTCTTCGCCCGGAGGTGAGCACACAGGCCTTCACTTGGAGAAGCTGCTGGTCAGGCCCATCTCCTCCTCCCCCCGCAGCAGTGCTTCAATGGGAGTCAGAGGGGACGGGGTGTCCAGGCTCTGGAGGGACAGAAACTCTGACATATCCATGGCACTTAACGTTTCTGTCTGAGGGGCTGAAGGAGTCTCTGCTTGTCTGCTTTGCTCACAGGAAGAAGGTATGGTGGAGGAGGATGACAGAGGGACGGGAGGTGGGGAGAAAGTCTGAGGCGGCAGCTTCGGGCTGGGCCCATCAGGAGGCTGGGGGCTTGGCTCTGGAGGGAGTGGGGAAGAACAGCCCTTTCTCCTGCCGGCCGCCCGCTCCTTGGCAGAGTCCCGGCACGCACACTGACACTGACACGCCTCCTCTTGTTTGATGATGATCACAGGAAGACTGAGGCCAATCTGCTGGACAGAGCTCCCTATGAGAGAGGCGAGAGAGACTGCTCTTCAAGTAGCCAGCCACAGGGAAGGGGCAGGAGGGGCGGGGATACAGGCTGGTGAGAGCTGAGTGCCATGGGGGCAGGAACCGTGGGAAGGGGTGGACGCCACACTCTGCGATTTGTCCCGCTTTAACTTGGACCATGTTCTTCCTCAGGAGGCCTCTGACACTGCCCATCCCCTCCAAGACAAGGTCCCTCTTCCTTCGAAAGCCACACGTGCTGTCTGGACACACCCTGTATTTCCAGCCATTCTCCTGGGCACCCTCCATGCCAGCCACGGAGGACACCTCCCTTTTCTCACACGTTCTTCATACCTCTGGGCCTATGGGCTCTTCCTTCTGCCTCAACTCCCCTGACAGGGCTGCTCTTCTGGAGAGCTTACTCTCATCTCTCAAGACCTAGCTCATGCGCCTCTCCCTCCTGATGCCTCCACGGAGTGTTTCCAGCAGGCTTATACCAAGGGCTAGGCTGAGGGCTGGCAGCACATGAGCCTCCTGGCACATGCCCAGAGCTACTGAGAGGTACTCACACCTTTCTCCATACTGTACGGGACCTCGTCAGTTCTGCCTGCCCGAGAGACTCTGAGCTCCTTTAGGACATCCCACTCATCTTTATAGGCCCAGTCTCGGACACACAGCAGATGTGGGTAAATCTCCTTTTACAAGCCAGCCTCGCGTGCACACGCATTCTGTGTGTGTGTGTGTGTGTGCTGTGCATATGCACACTCTGAATTCAAACAGGCTTTGTGTGTCTCAAAAATAGCTAGAGACCAAGGGGCAGGAGAACAGAGAGGGAGTCACAGGCCTCAGGACTAGTGCTTTGGGACTGCCACAAACTCACTTATGACTTTGGGGAGGCGTTTAATCTTTCAGGGCCCCAGTTTCTTAATCTCTAAAATAAAGAGCTTGAAAAAAAGGACCTTTTAGCTCTACAGGAATCTCTGGCCTAGATGCTATTTCTTCATTACTGTAATTAGAAAAGAGTCCAGTGAATTAACAGCTGCGCTCTTCAGCATTAACTGTGATTCAAACTTTTTTCTGGCTACAGTGACAAGCTGTATCGGAAAGGGAAAGAACCACCATGAGAGTCTGCCCTTATCCGCGGTTCCACTTTCCGTGGTTTCGGTTACCAGCGGTCAGCCACAGTCCGGAAGCAGACGACCCTCCTTCCGATGCCCAGTCACGCTACATCACAATGCCTACATCATTCCCTCCCTTCATCTCATCACTAGGAATCTGATCATCTCACATTATCACAAGGAGGAGAGTGAGTACAGTACAGAACACATTTTGAGAGAAACCACATTCACATAACTCTTATTATAGTATATTGCTATAATTGCTCTATTGTATTATTAGTTATTGTTATTAATCGCTTACTGTGCCTAATGTATAAATTAAACTTTATCATAGGGATGTACATACAGGAAAAAACATAGTATATTTAGGGTTCAGTACTAGCCACGGTCTCAGGCATCCACTGGGGCTCTTGGAACGTATCCCCCGCACATAAGGGGGGACCACTGTAGCAGTTAAAGAATGTTAAATGTGGTATTTATGCCATAAGTACACTAACTTCCAATAGTTGTGAGACTATGAAATACTTTAATAAATAAACAAGACAATGTGACAAATTAATTTTAAAGTTTTAAAAACTGGGGCAAAGCAACAATTAACTGTGCCTCAAGGGGCCCAGAGAGTCGACGTTCTTTTAAAGCTAACACAGAATTACATACCTGTGCTACTGGCTACTGGTACTGCAGTGGTAAAAAACACCTTCTCAACTTTAGATGCTTGCTGCTGGAAAAAAACACACACATTTATGGCCACGGTCGCATGGCGGATCTCCAAGGACCTGAAGCTGCCCCGGTTAGACTGGTCACCCAAGAGGACAGAAAACCCTCAGTGTTCGGGGATTTTTGCACTGAGGGATGTTTTGTTTGTGCTCTGACATGAGGTCACCGCACTGTTTGACATTCAGTGCTGACAATGTAGCCAGCTATGTCCCCTGCTACTTGGCTGTCTCCCAGCTGCCTAATCCAGTGGCTTCTGTGTGCCCAAAGGCTCCTCCAAGGTTGCCTTTCTCAAGCCGATGGTCTTCTCGGGGGAAGCCCCAGGCCTGGCCTCCCCTCTAAGTTCTGCACTCCCATGCCACTCCCCAACTCCCCTGCCTTCTGTGAGGCTGGAAAGTTCTTTTTTCCCCTCAAGGATTAAGCTCCAGGCTAAGGACAGGCCGGGACTCCCCCTCACAGGCAGCACTGTGAAGGCCCTGGGCAGCATGCTGTAGGCTGCACCGGGGAGCTGTTCCGGGAGGGGCCCTGGACTCAACCACACCTGCATCCGAGTCCAAGCTCTGCTGCATATTAGTTGTTGAGGTCAGGCAAGTGCTTTAACCTCGTAAAGTATCGGCTTCCTCGTCTGTAAAAACGGGGATGATAACCAAAGGACCTCCGGAGGAGCCCTGAGAGAGTACAAGGAGATGATGCATGTGGGGCCCCCAGCGCGTGGTGAGCCCTCGGCATACATGAGCTGTTAGTATCATTACTAAGGAGGACTGTAAAGTCACGCTCAGAAATCAGCCCTTTTAGTGTATTTGCTATTAAATTGAAAGGGTTTCGGCTTTCTTCAAGTCTTATCTTAAAAAGGGCTTTGTCTTTTATCCCTTTAAGGAAACAAAAAAGTCCCTCTAAGATGAGTCTAGGAGGAACGTGAAAGCTTCTGGCTAAGTTATAGGAGATGAGACTAAAGAATAATGATGGAGAAATGAGATGCATATTTAAATACATGAAAATGAATGGCATGGAAAAGGAATGCTACTTGTTCCACGCAGCTCCCCAGGGCAGATGCAGAACAAAATGGTACCAACTACACGGAGGCACATTGGGTCCTCATGCTGGGAAGACCTCTCCAGTGACTCCAGCCGTCTGCAAATGGAATGCGGCTGCCTCCAGAGCCCGCTGGCGCCCCGCGTACGGAGTGTGAGTGCCCTGACATTAGCTCTAACGTTTAGCCCGACACCACCTTTCCATTTGATAGTGTCATATATCTGCCCAGACACTCTCTGACTTAGTCCTTCCTCTTCTCCATCTAATTCCGACTCAAACCTTAAGTCTCTCCTGGCCTGTATGGCCACCCAACAAGCCCTTATCTGGCAGCACAATGGAGCAGTCAAGAGCAGAGGCTCTGGGGTCCATCTGCCTATGCTCAAATCCCAGCTGTGCTACTTAGAGCTGTGTGACCTTGGGCTACTCACTTAACTTCTCTGGGCCTCAGCTCTCCAGTGGTAAAATCATACCTACTCTTAAGATTGTTGTGATTAGAGTAATGCATTAAAAAATGCTCAGCACAGTGGGTGATATCTAGAGATACAGACACACAGAGGTAGTAAAAAGACCAGCGGTCGCTAGGGAGGAGAGGGCAGGGGGAAGGGATAAGTGAAGTGCAGGGGACTCTTAGGGTGGTGAAGCTATCCTGGATACCATAATGGTAGACACGTGCCTTCATGCATCTGTCAAACCCACAGAGCCACACCACACAGAGTGGGCCCTGATATCAACTACGGACTTCAGTCAATAATAATGCACCAAACTTGATTCATCAATTATAATAAATGTACCACACGGATGCAAGAGGTTAATAATAGGGGAAATGGGGGGGCGGGTGCAGAGTGTAGGGCAGTTCTCTGTACTATCTGTTCGATAAAATGTAAAAAAATGTAGTCTAAAGATGATGTACCTAAGGTAATGAGCGGCACACGTTAGATCCCCAATTGTCAAAAGTGCTTAGTTAGCACAGTGGACCCTAAACAGAGTAAGGGCTCAGGAAATCACAGCTGCTGTTATTTTTTTACTAGTGTTTTTATTATTATTTGGCACTTTACGTATTGGATGTATTAACTTTCTTTTAGGCATTTTAGCCACTTTAACTAGAAAGTAAGTTTTTGTGAAAAAGAGATCCTGCTTTTCACTTTCTGTATCCCGAGAGTATACCCCGGGGTATCTGGTCAATATCAGGCCCTCGAGAGATATTTAACTGAATGACCAAGTCATCAAGACCAAGCGCTTCTGTGGAAAATGGCTCTGTGGGGGGCTCTGGGAGCACAGACTCCCTCTCTGACTTGGCCACTGCTGGCTGCTCCATCTGACAGGGTCATGGCAGTCCCTCACATCAGCGCGACTCTGCCTTGGGGAAGAACCGCTTTCCTGAAACGTTCTTGGGCCTCTGGAGTCTGTGACGGCGCTCCTGCCCTCAAGGACGAGATTAAACTGCAGACGGAATAGCTGTTCAAGTGCCCGCTGCTCGGTAAACCTGAAGGTTGTTTCTCTGCCTCCCTACCGTAGGTGTCAACCACAGCATTCCCTGGGTTTAGACCACTCGATTATGGGGAAAATGACTAAGACATAGAATTACATGTTTCCGGACAGGTATGATAGCCATTTTCCTTTTTGAAGTAAAAGCCTCTGTACATGTCACCTATGTAAATACAGTTCCCCCACTGGATCCGTTTCTACGTAATACTTACAATTTGTTCTTGGTTTTGCGGTGAACTCGTGGCGCCATTCAATATCCACTGTAAGTTCTGTTCTCCCATGACTAGGCTGGACTGCAGGATAGCCGTGTTGGGAGTCGGGGTGATGGTTATAGTGGGATTATTCGTTAGGACAGAGTTGGCACCCAGGGGCAGAGTCTGGACCATGGCTGGCAGGGGCTCAGTAGTACTTTGTGGTTGGGGTGGTGCTGCCACGGCTGACGCCACTGCCGCTGCTGATGCAGAAGCCCCAGCAACAACAGAAAGTCCCGGGACGATAGGTTGCGGTGCCTGAGGGTGCGGAAGAAACTCTTGATGATTAGGAGCAAACTGTGTGCTGTGGAGAACAGGCACTTCTGGAGGTTGTAAGAGAGCAGGGGGGTTGCCAAATGCAGCTTGCTGGGAACCAGTTCCTAAGGAGGGAGCCGGCGGAGCAGTAGACGGTGCTGAGGCTGGTAGTAGAGGCTGGGGTGGCTCGGAGATGCCAGGCTGCAGTACAAGTGGAAGAGATAAAGATGCTGAATTTCCTGTGGATGGTGGAACATCACTGACTGACTCTGCATCACCATTAAAACTTTCAATCAAGGCAGCTGGTAAGAAAAAGAAATAGAAATATATATACATATCCCAAGCCTTATATGAGCCACAAAAACACAGTCATTACGGGCTAAACCAAGGACATCTGACATCTGTGAGAGCCAATCCTTCACTGCTAGAAGGCTGGCTTTCTGCTTTTCATTTAACGACCCCTCTGGGCAAAGTACCAGGCGTCACCATCAACATCACTTTCTACATGTGAAGAGCTAGTCTAGGTCTGACCATAAAAACATGTGTCCTAAGGCTTGTCTGAAAAAGAGACTAGACATCCCTTTTCGGCATGACCAGTGAACACACTTTCTGACTACTGTGAAGCTTCAGCGACAGATTTTCATTCAAACACAGCATGGTCCATGCATCTGACGCTGTCTGTGGATCCTCCCCACTCATGAACAGGGAATCACAGCAGAAGGAGACAGAGCTCACGACAGCGCTCATTTTTTAAAGCCAACAAGAGCTTTTGGGAAAAGAGACCCCTTCTGGGCAAAGTAGACCCTCAAGTGGACTCTTGTTGAGGGAAGTGGGGAAAAAGATGACACTGAACTGCTAGGCGCCTACTTTCCTGACCTCTCGCTGCAAGGACACTTCACGCAGAGGAATGGAAATAGCATCTTGCCGTGTCGCTCGTGCAGCACGTCCACGAGTGTGAACTCCCTTCCCCAGTGCTGAGGGTTGAGCGGGGAGAGTCCGGGTAACACACCTGTCTGTTGAGGATCTTCCTGAATGGCTGCGTCATCTGAATTCTGGAACATGGATTCAAAGATGATTGCTGGTGAGAGTGTGCTGAGATCCTGGCCCTGCGTCTGAAGGACAGAGACAGAGACAGAGATGGGAGATGCTCCATGCTAAGGCAATCCTTCACCATGAGAACACAGTCAGAGCAGCAGAACTAGAATGATCTTTTGATATGCTTCTTGTTTCTAACTTCTCCTTTTCCAAGGTGATGTATATTTATTTCCCTAAACCTCAGACACTGAAGGTTTGGGTCCTCAAATACTCTAAAAAGGAGCCAGCAAACTGTGACTTGTTTTTGTAAGTAAAGCTTTAAAGGAACTGAGGCAAGCTTGTTTACTTTCTGTCTATGCTGCCTCCGCGGCTATAACGGTAGAGTTGAGGAGTTGTGACAGACACCGTATGGTCCGCAGAGCCAAAAATACTTACTCTCTGGCCCTTTCCAAAAACTAGTTTGCCAACCCCTACTCTAAATACCAAATCTTACATAAAAATGGGATTGTATAATATCCATTACCAGCGACTTCCTTTTCTCATGTAATAATAATATATTGTGAATATCTTTCAAGGTCATAACAGACCATCTATGATATTCTAATATGTATACATGGTAACAAATCAAACAATAGAAGGAAACTTATAATGACAGACAATAGTGATCACCTTATACTCATTACCATCTGTCATTGCAAATTTCTTTGTAACTTAAAATTAAGAAAAAGTCAGAGGCACTTCAAAAAAAAGATAAAATGTGGGGCCGGCCCAGTGGTGCAGTGGTTAAGTTTGCACGCTCCACTTTGGTGGCCTGGGGCTCACGGGTTCGGATCCCAGTGTGGACCTACACAGCACTCATCAGGCATGCTGTGGCAGTGTCCCACATACAAAATAGAGAAAGAGTGGCACAGACATTAGCTCAGGGCCAATCTTCCTCAAGCAAAAAGAGGAAGACTGGCAAGAGATGTTAGCTCGGGGCCAAACTTCCTCACACACACACAAAAATAAGATAAAATGTGAAAGCAAAACAAAACACGTAATGCCCTGAGGGTCTGACTCCCAATAGGCACCAAATGAAATGAGCACCCCCAGGCTCCCCTTGAGTTGAGGGGAAGGGAAGAACAGCGGTTCTTTTCTCTGCAGTCCACCTCCAGTTCCGCATTGTGTAGGGCGAGAGTGACAAAGGCAGCCGCCTCCAGGGGTCCAGGCAAGTAACAGAAATAAAGGAAGCAAGGAGGGCGGGGACAGGGAGACCGGCAAACGGGAGAGCACACGCCCCAGTCCTCTAACGGGCTTCAGGCTTCAGCGGATGCTGCCACGAGGCTCTGCAGGCTGGGGGTTACCAGAGCTCAAGAGCAGTCGGAAATTGGATTTTTATGTGAAATCTTCTGATTTGTAATTAAAAGTAACTAAAAACAACTTAAAAGCACCGTATAAACCAAACCAAACCTAACCTCAGGCCAGATTTTGCCCCAGTGCCAACTTGTGTTTAAAGATCATTTTGCAACAATTCGGCTTCTGGGAGAGAGAAGGAACATTCTGGGGATGGAGGAGGAGTAAAAGCCTGGTGAGTGGAACTGTCCACCAGCTTAGAGGACCTCAGAGATGAAACTGCTCATATGAGCCAAGAGGGGTCGATTATTCTAACATGATTCCATTACGTGGAAGAACGAGAGGTGAGCTGAGTGAATCTGATTGCCAGTATGACAGAAGCCGAACGCAGAGATCTATGCAAGGCTTCCAGTCCAGAGAGAGTTAAGAATTATAGGCCAAGGGGCCGGCCCGGTGGCAGAGTGGTTAAGTTCATGTGCGCCGCTTCAGTGGCCCGGGGTTCACTGGTTTGGATCCTGGGTGCGGACCTATGCACCGCTTGTCAAGCCATGCTGTGGCAGGTGTCCCACATATAAAGCAGAGGAAGATGGGCACAGATTTTAGCTCAGGGCCAGTCTTCCCCAGCAAAAAGAGGAGGATCGGTGGCAGATGTTAGCTCAGGGCTAATCTTCCTCAAAAAATAAAAAAGAATCATAGGCCAAGACAGCAGCCTTCAAACTTTTCATTGTGACACAAAGTAAGAAATACATTTTACATTATATATATATGTACACAAATACTTCATATTACATACACATATGTATAACTGAAACAAAAGTCTATGAAACAGAACTTAGCCTTACCATGTGCGATGTCTTCTGCTACTTTCTATTCTGTTGATGTCCTTAAAATGCTGTTTATAAACCACTACTCTACAACTCAGGGAAGAGGTGCAACTCAGTTTGAAAAGTAGCAGGCTAACAACTGCCACTAAGCTATAAGCTTTGCAGCTTCCTCATGGTTGTTATTTTTGTCCTGCCTGTTTACAAATTATCAGCAGTAACATTACTAAAAAGGAACGAGCCTGTGTGACTCTAAAAGATTATGTACGAGGATGCTCACAGAGCACATGGTTCCAAACTAGGAAGTATCCAAATACCCAAGGGACGTAGAAAGAGCAAACTGTGGTATCTTCATTTCCTGTGATAACTGTTCAACAATGAGAATGAATGCCCTAATGATATATGCAACAACATGGATTAATTTCTTAAACATAACGTCAAGAAAGAAGCCAGCACAAAGGAGTACATACCACAGGATTCCAATTAGACAAAGCACAAAAACAGGCAAAATTTGTCTCAGGTTGTTGGAAGTCAGGACAGTGGCTATCCTCAGGGAGAGGGAACAGGTGTCAGGGGGCATCAGGGGGCTTCCGGGGGTTCAAGAATGTTCCATTTCTTGAGCTGGGTGTTGGTTACATGGATTTGGTGAACCATGGTGATTCATCAAGCTGTATACATTTATGACAGGTGTACTTTTCTGTATGTATATTATACCTCAATAAAAAGGTTTTTTTAATTGAAAGGAAAAAAAAAGGGAAAGTGCTGAGGAGACTATGACTCACTCACTGCCAGGCTTCAGGGCAAAACCCCTGGGGCAGAGAGAGTGGGAGCAGCTCCCGAAGGAGACCAGGACAGGCCTCCAGGTCTGGAGCAGAGACAGAGGACACCGGGTGCTGTCTGGGACCAGGAGCGATCCTGAAGCCCGAGGCTCAGCAGGCCATTCCCCAGCTGCTTCAACCCTCCATCAACAAAAGATTTGAGCAAGCGAAGGTCACTTCTAGGACACATATACACATGTGGCTGCTCAGAAACCAGTAAAATGATGATCTCATAAAAACTGAAAATTTGATTTGAACGATTCATAATTTTTTTAAAGCAAGCAAAAGCAAAACAAACAAAACTAATCCTGTTACTTCAAGAAATTGTGGCCTTAGTTTGAAAGACTAAAAATGGGACTATTTCCAATTCTGGGATAAATGCTGGGTGACAAGGACACAATAATTTGACCCCAAGGGACAGAGCAGCCTCTCTCCGGCTGAGGTGAATTGTGGTAAAACGGCTCTGGATTCTGTTACGCTTCTTGGAAGAGTGTTTGTTTGTCTGCTTCAGCATTCTGTTGACTTGGCCGTGCTCCAGCTCCAAGCTGTCTTCCCCGCAGCGGGCGGCAGCCGGAACCTCTGTCCAGACCTTCCGCCGTAGCTGGGCTGCTTAGGTGTGCCCCACGCCGCCACAGTTCAGGGCTCAACAAGACAACTGGGCAGAGTTTTTATTTATTTATTTATTTATTTATTTATTTATTTATTTATTTTTTAAAATTTCTTCTTTTTAAAAAAATTATTTAATTTTTTTTTTTTTTTTGAGGAAGATTAGCCCTGAGCTAACACCTGCTACCAATCCTCCTCTTTTTGCTGAGGAAGACTGGCCCTGAGCTAACATCTGTGCCCATCTTCCTCTACTTTATATGTGGGACGCCTACCACAGCATGGCTTGATGAGCAGTGCCATGTCCACACCCGGCATCCAAACCAGCAAACCCCAGGCCGCCAAAGCGGAACACGCGAACTTAACCACTGTGCCAGCGGGCTGGCCCCTGGACAGAGTTTACACACAGAACTTGGGGCTCCCCTTTGTGGCTCTTTCCTTTCTAGGCTTCCCCCTGCCCTTGGGGGTGGCAGTAGCTGTGGTAGCCCTGAACTCTGTCCTCTGGTTATCCAAGCTTGTAAGACTGAGTGTTTACTGAGTTTTGGCCATCTTGTCTGGTATCAGCCGGGGTGGCCCTGAGGTGGATAAGCCACCAAATCCGAGAGCTTATCCAGGGGCTTTGCTATATCTCAAGTGGCCCCTTTTTCCAAGTGTTCCCTCTGCCTGTTTGGGTTGCTCTCTGGTGCCTTCAAATCATTTTTATATTTTGCCCAGCAGAGATACTTGTCTTCTATGGGGGGGTTGGTCTGATAAGGGCAACTCTGCCATTACCAGAAGAACCCAGGCTTTGGGTGTTTATATAAAGGTGCAGTGTCAGCTGCCACTCCCAGAGGATGCTGACTCAGCAGGCTTGGGGGAGGCCCAAGACCCGACGTCGCCAGAAGCAGTGCAGATGACTCCACTGATCACATTGGGAGAAACCCTTTCTCACAGCACTCCTGACTCACTCCGTCTGTTCACACACTTCCTATCGTGTTGACTCTTTCTTATTTATTATGCGTGTACTCGCACAAAGTCTAACCTAAGCTATACTTATTTAGCAGGGAAAAATAACAAAGAACGCACAGCTGAAAACCAGTGTTGGGGACACAGTAAAATGCATAGACCCTCAGGAAGAAGCGTGAGCTCAGGCCTCATGCAGTGGTCTGTAGGCCACCTCACGGAGCCAGGGGAACTGGGAGAGATGCTCAGCAGAGTGAGCTGAAGCATCAGATCAAGAGGCAGTGGGCAGTCTTCTAGCAGAGGGGCTGCAGAGGAGCTTCCTTTAAAATACCACTGCAGTAAGCTCACAGGAAGGCAAGACTGACTCCGGTCAGGTCAGCAGGGCTTGAGAGAGTCTGGAAACTGGAACCCTGGCTGCCTCTTACAGTGGACATTTTTTTTCCTTCTTTGAGGAAGATTAGCCCTGAGCTAACATCTGCTGCCAATCCTCCTCTTTTTTTTTTTTTTTTTTTTGCTCAGGAAGACTGGCCCTCAGCTCACATCCGTGCCCATCTTCCTCTACTTTATATGTGGGACGCCTGCCACAGCATGGCTTACCAAGCGGTGCCATGTCCACACCTGGGATCTGAACCACCGAACCCCGGGCCACCGAAGTGGAACGTGCGCACTTAACCACTGCATCACCAGGCTGGCCCCACAGTGGACAAATTTTAAGCACCTGAAGGACAGACCATGCCTACTTTTTTACCACTACAGGCTCAGCCCCAGCACACTGCATCATGGAGAAGGTGCTCCACAAATATTTGCTAAACGAATAAAGGAAGAAAATTTCTGGGGCCAGGCAGCTATCAGGTGTGTGACCAGGCATCAGAGAGAACCCCTCCTAAGAGAGCTCTTATGAGGGAACAAAAACAATAACAACAACTCCTACACCGTCACTGACTGAGCACAATTAAATCCGGAAGACCTAAAGCCGGCCCTCAGTTTCCCCCTAGAGGGAGCGCTCAAGGCTCGTGCTTGTTTCCCAGCGCCCATGTCACAGGTGCACTTACTGTGTTGGGATTTTCTCGCAATTCAGAATCTGTGGACAGAAGGCTCAAGTCACTCAGACAAAGGGTGTGATTTGTATCCTGTGAAAAGAGAAAAAATCTAATTGAGTAAAAAAAATCAGGATTTATAGTAGTATATCATGTAATAAGACGCTTGATTACAACGTTCCTAAGGCTGCAAACATCTAGAGGTGTCACCTGGAGGGGAATAAACCACCCAAGCAGGGGCCACGGGAATTATTGAATTATTTTAATTTTAAAAGTCCTGACATTCTTAGAAAAATCTCTTATGTTTCTTAAAGACGGTTAATAAAGAGTTTAAGAATTATCTCATGACTCAGGCTCCAGAATAACAAAAGGTATAATAACACAAAATTAACAATATCTGCATAATTGGCCTTATCATTTACAAAGCGATTTCACATGACCTCATTTGCTATTCATATAAACCTTTGAAGTATTATTTTACATTCCCATTTTAAATATGAGAAAATTAATAAGACTGGCAGTGAACTGTCCAAAATCACACTGCTAATTAGCAGAACACAAACCCAGTGCTTCCGATTGCAAGTCCATCTTCCTTCCGTTATCACTGTGTCCCCAGTACGGGCATCTCAGGGGGGAGCTGAGGGTTCCCTGTTGACACACAGCTGCCCAGGCTCAGTCACCTCTGATTCCTAGACTGCCAGCTGCGATTCACAGACCTTCTGTGGTAACGAGCGCCCCCATGAACCAGATGTTCCCATTCATGCGTGCATTCAACAAATGACCACTGAGCATCTACCACGCCTCAGGTACTGTTCCAGGCCCAGGGACATGAGAATGAACAAAGCAAAGTCCCTGCCATCACAGAGCTTACATTCTAGTTGCTGGGGGGGGGGGGGCGGTGTCGGGGGTGTCGAAAAAAACAAATAAATACATAGTATATAAGATGATAATGAGCACTACAGAGGGTCAGGGGAATAGGGAATACTGGGGTAGGAGCTGCCCTTTTATTAGGTTAGGGAAGGCCTCTCACATAAGGTGGCATTTGCATAGACACTGAAGGAGAAAGGGCATGGGCCATGTATGTCTAGAGAAGGCGTTCCAAGCAGAGGGTACGTACAGTGAGTACAAAGGCCTGGAGGCAGGAGTGGGCCTCCATTGTTCAAGGAACCATAAAGAGGACAGTATGACTAAAGTGAAAGGAGGAGAAGTAAACTAGGCCAGAGAAGTGACCAGGTCAGGGTGCAGAGTCCCTTGTGGACCACTGTCAAGATTTTGACTTTTACTTCAAGTGATACAAGAAGCTACTAGAGGGTTATGAGCAGAGGACAGACATTATCTGCCTTACGGTTTAGAAAGATCGCTCTGGGTCATAAATGCAGGACAGTCTGTGTCAGGGCAGACTGGGAGAGGGGAGAAGGGAGGAAAAGGTGCCAGAAGACCACTTAGCAGGTTACTGCAATAATCCAGGCAAAAGACGATAGTGACTTGAACGAAGTAATACGAAGAAGTGATCAGATTCTAGATATATTCTCCAGGTAGAGCTGACAGACTTTGCTGGTGGATGTGGGGTATAAAGAAAAAAGAGTCAAGAACAACTCCAAGATTTTTGGCCTGTGCCACTAGAAAAAAGGAGGCGCCATTTAGGAAGATGGGGAAGACTCAGGAGGAACAGGTTTGGACATGTCAAGTTCGAGAAGAGCAGATGATATCTGGGTGGAGTGGGTGGTTAACAGCACAAGTCTAGAGCTCAGGAAGAGACCAGGCTGGAGACGTAAATTTAGGACTCAAAGGCAATCCAGACGGCATTTAAAGCCTGACACTAGAAGAGATTCCCTCCACTGGGGAGTGAACAGAATCCAGAGAAGATGAGGTCTGAGCACTGTACACTGGGGCACTCCAATACTTAAAGGTTGTCGGCAATTGAACTGTCCTTGGATTGTTATGAAAATGAGAAAACTGATCATGCCTTCATATACGCAGCTTAGCAGACAAAGACTCTCAAATCTTAATATTTTTATTGGGTCTTACCAGATGAAGAAACTGAGGCACAACAAAGCCGTTTGATTAGGGGTGGAGCTTGGATGTGAATTCAGGCAGCTGAACTCCAGAGGCTGCACTTTTCACAACCAATGCTGTTTGCCTCTGACAACATCGGGGTCAAGAACCAGGCTCTGGATCAGACTAATGGCAAGCTTTGGATACTTAAGTGAGTTCTTTAATTTCTCCTTGCTCCAAGTTTATCAGTAATATGGGGATAATGATAGTACTGACCTCACAGAGCTCTGTGAGTGAGATCATCCATACAAAGGCACTCAGCACAGTACCTGGCACATAGTAAACATTCAGTTAATATTAGTCATCATCACTAATAAAACAGAAGGGGAAAGACCTTTCAAAAAGATCCCTTGCAGTTTAAAAATTAGAAACCACAGAATTGAAGTATGCTGTCTCTCTCCAAATCAAAATCATATTAAATACATAAAGAACCTCATTATTCAAGAGGGTCAGTGTGCTTCAGTTTCTTTATCTATGAAGTAGTAAGATAATAACAGTACTCACTTCCTAGGTTTAAAAGACATAAGTGCCCAATACCACATTAGAAGTAACAACAGTAAATTTATCCCAGAATCTCTCTGGAAAGGAGCTGTAGAAGAGAGGGAAATATGGTAGAAGGGCTTGGTAAACAACATACAAAATTGCCTAAAATTTTGCAGTGGCTGGTTCTGTGGTGCAGTGCCTTAAAGCAGTGGCTCTCAGACATTCTGGTCGGCAGACAATTCAAAAGGGCAAGGGACCCTCCAAACTCTGCCTGGTTCTCCAATGATGGATTAATGGACGTGTGAAGCAAATCATTAATTTGGGTCCCAAATTCAAGTACAGATATATCATTTTATAGATATGAATGGGAAATTAACACCCTTTTAGAGCATCTGGCTGGCCTTTCAGAAGCCATTCTGAGACCCCTGGTTTCAAGACACCTTCTTCCACCATACCTGATGGAAGGGAGGCAGAGGGGGCTCAGAGGCTAAAGCACAGGGAGCCTGGTAACATTGCTGGCTTCCACCACCACATCACAAAGACACAGATCTTGACCCTGATTTCTTCCCTCTCACTGCCAGACTTAGAGAGATGTTTTAACCTTTTATTTTGATACACAAACAATTGTTGCTGTTCTGTGCTGCCCCGATCAAAACAAGAGACAAAACACTGCACACCTCTGATCCATTGTGATTTGGAAGTGCATTGTATGAGTGTCCTTTGTTATCGTGACCTTTCATGTGACTTTTGAGACTGTACTGAGTGCTGAATGTTTTCTCACAGCCATTACTGGGGCAGAAAAAGGGTCTTTCACCTGCAAGAATGACAAATAGTGTTAATTTTACCAAAAGTCATTTCACTGGATTAAGACATCTACTTTTCCCTAACAGACGGAAGAAAATATTCTTATGAGGGTTCAAGTAACAGTTGTTATTAAGTTGGATGAATTACACGTTAATCATCTCAGTCCTAAAACTTAATGAAGAGCAAAGCACTGAGAATGGCCTGCTCCTGGGAAGTTTAAAGAGAAGATTAGTTTTTTTCCCAGGTTCTGTTTTTGAGTATCTCTGTATTGGTTTCTTTCTTAAGGCTGGATTCCTGAGTCTAACCTTTAGATCCTTTTCCCTCTGAAAGAAACTCAAACATTATAGGTGAAGGCTACACTGATTAGGCTTGCTCCCTCCATGGAGCTCTACAAATCTCAATGGAAACATAGATGTTTACTGGCTTGACAAAGGTTAAAATAAAAATAAAACTTAGCCTAAACTCACCAGTATGTGTACGGACGTGAGTTTTAAGGTGGTGGCTTGCTGCAAATGCTTTTCCACAGCCATCATGATCACACCTAAATAAGTTGTTTAAACAAAGACAAACAGCAGGCATTAGCCAACAGACCTTTATCTTCATTATCTCTTGTAAATACAAACTCAAACTAAAACAAAAGTTCAGAATACTAGGATCAGATCGATGGAATTGGTTTTAGAGATGGGAATGATGACAGGTCCCTAGAAAAGTAAGGTGACAAATCTGGGATCAGAGGGAGCTGATGGCCCCGAGTAAGTATTTCTTGTCCTACAGGTAAGGCACATGTTGAAAGCCTGACAATAAAAGCCTTTTGATGAATTATTTAACAGAATTCTATTGACAAGGAGAGCCCATACGGAAAATCTGCCAGTGCAGTATTAGGAACATCAACAGTGGGTACAGAGGCTCTCAGACCTGCACAGAGCCTGAGATACAACAGTCGAGCGAAATCAGTCCGAACATACTGGCTGTAACGGCTTACCTATAATCTGCAGTGTTGAGATCTACTTCTCTTTTCCTTTCTTGACAACCAAAGCTAGAAGTAATCTACCCCTCCTCAAAACTGCTAAGGCATTTATCTACATGCTTCTTTCACGGCACCTGTCATTTCCAATCTTATTTTATCTCTATGCGTATACACCTGTTATCTGTTCTCTGAGATTGTAAACTCTGAGGGCAGGGTCCATGTGGTTCTTTACATCTGCTATAGTTCTTGCACATAGCAGGTCTTCACTAACTATTTATATGAATGAATGCATTTTTTCATAAGCCAAAATATTTTATTTCTTTAAATAGAAAGCTTCTCTAAAGCATTTTACCTTTTTTTCCCCCCTTAAAGATTTTATTTTTCCTTCTCCCCAAAGTCCCCCGGCACACAGTTGTATATTTTTAGTTGTGGGTCCTTCTAGTTGTGGAATGTGGGATACCGCCTCAGCATGGCTTGATGAGCGGTGCCGTGTCTGCACCCCAGATCCGAACCGGTGAAACTCTGGGCTGCTGAAGCAGAGTACACAAACTCAACCACTCGGCCATGGGGCCGGCCCAAGCATTCTACTTTTTAATTACATGTAATCATTGTGTCTAAAGTCTCATCTAATATTAAAGAAAAATTAGCAGTTTTAATCATCACAAAAATGCACGTGATTGAATAGAAATCAGAGTTCCCTCAAGAGCCCTATGGAACAAAAAAATAACCTAAGCTTCATAGCATCTGGAAGAGTAAGTAACTAAAATCTAAATACTCTTGCTTTTAAAGGGGCCATGACTCAGGAATGCATCTGTAATTTTAAAACACAATTCCATTTAATTGGTGTTTAAGAGTTGACTGTCCCTGAAGACTTTTAAATTCCTTGGTATCCTAACGAGGAGATGAGTGATTTGAGAAGGGAAAGGTAGCAAATTTCATGCCATGAACATAACAGCAATCTCTCCTGCCAAAATCCAAAGACACTGTTTATGGGCAATTTTCCGTAATTCATCTATATTATATTTAGAGGGAATCCTTACAAACTGATTTTCTCATTAAAAATGTCACATAATCATCCCCAAGTTGTTTTTGAACCCCTACTGAATGCCCAGAATCATGCTATATGCTGAGCAGAGAAGAAAATAGATGACACAAGTCCTTCCTTAAAGCTTATGCATTTACACATGTATCTATTAAATGTATATATATGTACATATACATAAATTGAAATACATAGATAAAAATGGAGGCTCCTGTATGTCTGTGTATACAACACATGAGATACTACAAAGCAAAAAGTGAACAAGTAACAAAATAAAATACCTGCCCCCCTAGCCTAAGCATTCCTACCCCTCATTTCCCCTCTCGCCTCCCCGCCTCCCACCTTGTTCATACGTATCCTTCCCTCTGTGCTCAAAGCGCTTTGGGCATCTCAGCCTCAGAGACGGTCTGGTTACTCGTGGTTCTTTTCCACCAGACCAAGATTCTCAAGAGGAGAGCCGGTGTCTTAGTACTTCTCCAGCACTGATTAAAGTACCTACCACCTAAGTGAGTTTCAACAATGCGTCTAGAAAATAAAGGGGAAAATGGAGGCAGAAAGGCCGTCATCCACAGAGTAAGGATGCCCTTGGTTCCATCACCACTCCTCCCACCTGCAGTGGTTGGTTATAGCTATCCTGGGGAGAGCTAACACTGCCAAAGAGCTGGTGAAGGGAATTTTCTCTCCACTTTGAAAAATTTTAGCGTACCTCAGGACCCCCAACTGAAACCTAGTCAGCGACAAATAGACAATAGAAAGACCTACCGAAATGGCTTTTCTCCTGTATGGGTTCGAATGTGCTTCCTCAGATCACTGAGTGTGGTGAAGTACTTGCTGCAGCCTTGAGATTCACAGTTAAACGTTTTCCCTGTGTGAAGCCTCTGATGTGCTTTCAGCCTGCAAGATATCCCAGAGAAATTGCCTTTGTGATAATGTACTACACAGCCTCCCCTTGTCAGCTTAATGTCCTTCAGGATCAAGTGCAGAAGAATTCTATATCCATAATAGATGAGTATCCAAAATTGTACGCTCAAAGAGATAGTCAGAGAAGTATACAGCAGAGAGGTATGAGTGTGACTCTGGAGCCAGACTGCCTGCGACTCAAATCCTGGTCCCACCTCCTACTGGATGGGGGACCTGCAGACAGTTAAATAACCTCTCTGTGCTTCCATTTACTCATCAGCTGCCACGAGGATTAGCACTCAGAACAGGGCCTAGCGTACAGTGAGTGCTTTTTAAGTGTAAGCTATTATTATGTTTTTTATTTTACACCCAGCGTTGAAGACTAACGTAAGTCTTCTGATACAAACAGTGGAAAAGAGAAATGGCTAACGAGTGGACCACTCCTCATTTCTCAGGGTAGAAAAAAGTTAATCTTCAAGGTGATGTAGAAAAGAAAATGATAGAAGCCTAGTACCAAGATCCTGAGCCAATGGGAAATATTACCCTGTGCCAAATAATAAAATCCCCGGGACAGAATGTCACTCCAGGAAATACAAATGGAAACACAACGTACTATCATTTTTAACCAACCCAATAAATGTCAATCTCTAAGTAATGAGTTCCTCTAATGCATTTTAAACAGTTGAGCATTGCTGTGCTCTTTGAAGGCCTGAAAGTGAACATCTGTACTGTGCAAGGAGAGAGCGCTCTGCAGTCATGACAAAGCTAGGGTCAGAGGTGGGAGGCACGCTGGGAGAAGATGCAGACCTGTACAGCGTGTTGAAGGCCTTCTCACAGCCCTGCACGTCGCACTCAAATGGCTTCTCCTTCGTGTGCACTCGCACATGGATCCTGAGGCTGTAGGAGGTGAGGAAGGCCTTGCCACAGCCCTCCTGATTACAGACAAAGGTGTACTCTCCTCGGTGAGTCTTCTGGTGGGTGCGCAGGTTGCCTGCTGTGCTGTAGGTGCGGGGACAGCCCTCAAAGGTGCACTGGTACCGCTTTACCTGGCAGACAGAGGAGACCTCATCAACAGGACAGAAGAGCTGCCCAGGGCCTAACTCCCCCCAGAGCTTGGCTCCCAGGAGATGTGGATGACACAAATAGGTTTTTATCATAAATACAGAAAACCACTCCCAACAACAAGGTGGGGACATCTTCCCATCATTCAAATGACACCTGGACTACAAATGAGTAATGGGGAAGAGAGAAGCTTGGAGGCAGGTGAATATTCTAAATGAACAGAAGGGTGTTTTCAGACTCTAGTAAATATCTATCCTCTGGTATGGGCATATACTGTTACAATTGCCTACATTCAAATACAATTTGACTTCGTTTTAAGGCTTGATTAAACACCCTGCCCTCTGGCACTATATCTTGATGGGAACTGACCAATGTTAAATTAAGCCTAAAACAACCTGAAATTTACATACTCAGTCACATATATACTAGCATGGTTTCCCCTGCATGTTTCCTTTCTTTTTTTTTTTCAAGCTTTTTCTCCCCAAATCCCCCCCGTACATAGTTGTATATTTCAGTTGTGGGTCCTTCCAGTTGCGGCATGTGGGACGCCACCTCAACATGGCCTCATGAGTGGTGCCATGTCCACGCCCAGGATCTGAACTGGTGAAACCCTGGGCCACTGAAGCAGAGCACATGAACTTAACCACATGGCCATGGGGCTGGCCCCTCCCCTGAAATGTTTTCTTGTTGTTGTTGCCTTTTTTGTTTTTTGGTGAGGAAGATAGGCCCTGAGCCAACAGTTGTTGTTAATCTTCCTCTTTTTTTTTTTTTTTTTTTGCTTGAGGAAGATTGTCCCTGAACTAACATCTGTGCCAATCTTCCCTTATTTTGTAAGTGGGAGACTGCCACAGCATGGCTTGATGAGTGGTGTGTAGGTCTGTGCCCAGGATCTGAACCTGCGAATTCCAGGCCACCAAAGCAGAGTGCACAAACTTAACCACTACGCCACCAGGCCGGTTCCACCACTGTATATTTTCAAGTCCAAAATGAAAATAATGTATCAAGAATTTCTCAGACTATTTGGCAGTATGACATTTCTCAAACTGCTGGCCTCTTGGTTTCCTTTCCCCACCAAACTTCTTGAGAAGGTAGTATACACGTATGCCTCCATTTCCCTCAATGTCCACGTATTCCTTAACCACTTGGCAAGCTGACTTCACTATACAAAGCTATTCTCTTGAACTTCCTGGTGGTCAAACTCTTTCATCCTTCCCCATTTTCCTTCACTACTTGCAAAAATATCTCATCGATGATGCCCTCTCCTTCTGAAAACTTGTTCTTCACAAAAAACCCCAGTAATTTCGTGGAGCTCTCCTTATCTTCTTCTCTGAGCCAGTCCTTTCCTTCACCCGCCAATGTAGACTTATTCCAGAACGTGTCTCTCATCTCCACATTTTCCCCGCCTCCACCCTGGTGCAGGGGAAGCAGCACTAGACTTGGCTGCAGGAGACGGAATTCTGGCACTCATGCTCAAGCCTTTGAACGAGTCACTTCACTTCTCTGAACTTCAGCTTCTTTATTTCTACAATGCTAATATTAACGCCTGCCCTGTCTGTCTCATGGTCCTTTGAGTGGGACAAAATGAGATAAAACATTTGTGAAAATACTTTGGGTGCTAGTATTGTCTACTCTTCAGCTTTAGTGAACATCTTCATGCTTTAATCTGGACCTTTCTCCAAAGCTTCAATCCTTATCTCTGACTACACTACTGGTATTCATTCAACAGTTACTGAACTGCTATGTCCTAGTCAACAAGCTAGATACCACAGATAAAAAAGTACACAAGACAAAAATCTCTGCTTTTACAGAGCACTGGTTTTAAGGAGGCAGACAGGCATAGATTATTATACACTGTGCTGAGCCTGACAACACATACATACCCAACGTGCTTGGGGAGCATAAAAAAGGGAAACCCAACCACTCTCAGAAAGACTGGAAATCAGTGAAGGCTCAGAAGCTGAGGGACTCTCTCTGAACTGAGGGCGGCTTTTTTTTGCTTTCAGTTTGCCTATTTTTTTAGGGATAAACTGAAAAGGTGTTCCTCAGACAAACCAGGAAAAGAGGGCATTCGAGAAAGAGGTAACACCTTGGGAACTGCATGGAGAGATGAATGAGTGCGCTGGTGCCACACACTGGTACCACTATATGTTGTGCTGAACCACAAACACACCTGTAATATGGGAGAGGTTGGAGGGAGAAGAATCTAGAAAATAAGGCCAAGCCTCCTTAGTCAAGCTATGGAGTAGAGGAATAGGACAATGGGGAGCCAGCAGCAGGTTTTAACCAAGATAGCAACACCAGCAGATCTGGGGTTTAGGAGACATCATTCTTGTAGCCTTGGGGAGGACGGACTGGAAGGGTAAGAGAGTAGAAGGGGTAGAGATTAAGAGAAGAGGGGCAACAGTCCAGGAGAGAGATGAGAAGAATCTGAACCAGGAAGTGACAGTGGACATTCTGAGAGCTGAAGCCGCAGAAATTAAAGGGGGAGAAATAACCGGCTGTAGTGACAACTGGGCGCCAAGGAGTGGAAGGGGTCGGGGAGAGGCAAAGTCGAGATCAACTCCCAAGATTATGGCCTGAATGACTAAATAGACGGTCACACTACCAATCTGGGGCTGGATAGGGGGTGGGAGAGAGATGATAAGTTGAGATGCTGCCAGGACTTCCAGGTGGAAAGGTCTAGTAGACAGTCAGACATATAGGCTAGAAGCTAAAAGGACAGTCTATGGCAGGAGTCTTTTGTACACAGATAACAGCTGCCTTTCCCTGTCCACAGGCAGGCTCAGGTTCAAGCCCCAGCTCTGCCACTTACTGTGCAACCTTGGGGAAATTATTTAAGCTCACTAAGCTGCACTTTCCTTATATATAACATAGAGGAAACAAATCTATCGTTTTAGGGTTGTTGTAAGGATTAGGAATAATCTGTATAAAGCATTTAAATACAGTGACTGGCATATAGTAGGTACTCAGTAAAATAATAGCTCTTATTAGAGGACAAAGGACAGACCCCTGAAAGTAACCAATGTTTAAGGTACTGGCAAAATAAGAGAAGCCACTGATGGTGAGTAGGAGAAAGGGTCAAGGAGACAGGAAGAGAAGCAAAGGAGAACGATGTCACAGAAGCCAACAAAAAAAGGGTCTCAAGGAAAAGAGAATGATCAAAATGTTAAATGTCAGAGAAAACATGGAAGATAAGGACTGAGGAAACTACTGGATTCAGCAGCTAGGCATTCACTGCTGACTTAGCAAGACTAGTTTAACGGACTGCTGGGGTCAGAAGTCTGGATTAAGGGGAATGAGTGACAGGGAGTGTGAAGGTAGAGACTAGAGATGGGGAGCAGCACCAAATGGGGGCTTTTGAGTTGATGCAGTTTTTATTTTTTTAAGTAGGATAGATCTGAGCACATTTGGGAGGAGAAAGGTCCTGGAAGAAGAGAAGCTGAGGATCTGGGGAGGAACACAAAAAGAAAGCGATATTTAAAAGCCCGGGTGGAGGGAAGAGCCTCAGGTAGGAAGAGGGACATTCAGTTTCAGAGAACAGAGGACCTGGGATAAGGACGGGTGTGACTCAAGGGTGGACAAGGTTTCTGTAAAGGGCCAAATAGTAAGTATTTTAGGCTCTGCGGGCCATGCAGTCTCTGTTACAATAACTCAACTCTGCTGCTCTATGTGAAAGTAGCCAGAGACAACACATAAATGGACAAGCCAGCCTGTGCTCCAAAAACACTTTATTTATGGACATTGAAATTTGAAGTTCATATCATTTTCATAGATCATGAAATGCTGTTGTTTGATTTTCTAAAAAATCATTTAAAAATGTAAAAACTCTTCTACAAAAACAGGTATCTGGATGGATCTGGCTTGCGGGCCATAGTTTGCCAACCCCTAAAACTTGTGGGGGTGGGGAGGGAGGGGCCCTGACTCCTCCCGTCTCCCCTCCCACTCCTTCTCTCATCTGTCCAACCCCCAGGAAGATCTTGCACAAGTCTGTAGGTTCCTCAGGCCAGGGCTCTCCCGCTCATTCATTCCTCGCCCTGCCAGCGCCACACGGGAGGAGCTTCATCAACACCTGTTACTGACCCACTAGCCCAGGCACTGTCGCGTCTCAGTGCCTCGTTCTGAAGCCAATCACTGCCAGATTTATTCTACAACAGCGTGCTGCAGGTGCCGTCTCTCTGCTCAAACGATAAAGTCCCAGTTCCTTAGCGTGATAGTCAAGGTCCTTCCCAGGGGCCCTTCCACCTTCTATCACATTACTGCCTGACCATCCGGCAGGAGGCTCTGTCCAGGCCCACAGGCAACAGACACCCTTCCCTAATTGCAGCGCTGAACTCCTACTTGCCCGCCTTTGCTCGCTCCTCTCTTCTACTGGAAATGCCTTGCTCCTTCTTCGCTTTTCCGAAGCTCTCTCTTCCTTCAGTTTCAGTCCCACCACCTCCAAGGCCCTCCACAATTACTCCAGGTCTAAGCGACAGTGCCGTTCTCCGAATTCCAACAATAGTTAACTACAGCACTCATTCGACACTTAGCTTACACTGTTAATTACCCTCTCATGCATATATCCTGATTTCCCAACAAGACTAAAAAACCTCTTTGGTTCTGCCAGATAGAGTTTCAAAATAATCACTGACCAGGAAGAATGGGGACTGTGCATGCTGCAATAAAGGCGTCTACATGTCTCAACCAAAGAGTTTATGACAATGACGAATGATAAGAGCAAAACTTCATTCTCAAGATGCTACAGCAGTTGATAACTTTATAGGTAACAGTGCAATCAATAATTAACTACCCCTCCCTGTCTCCCTGCCCTGCCAACCCCTACTCCCATCCAGGTATTTTTACTTGGCCAGTTCAAGCTTCCATTAAATGCTCCTTCCTCAAGAAACTTTTCCCTGACTGACCCCTACCCCCACCTCAAAGCAGAATAAGTCTCCTTATTATAGTTTCTCATAGCTTCCTGTGTTTCTTTAAAGCACATGATACC